GAAAAATAAAGGAATAAAGTAATAATTAAGATTAAAGCCCTTCTTAATATAAACCTGAAAAATAAAGGAATAAAGTTAAAAGTTCAACAGTCTTTGAAGCCTCTGCTTAGCTCACTCAGCTGCCTGGTCTCGATGCGCTGCCAGAGATACCGGGTGACCTCCCTCAACCCTCATTCTTCCTGCAGTGGGCTGCAACACCATCGCTGCTGAAGCTGCCGCCTCTCTGCTTTCCTTCTCTTGCCTCAGGAACATGCCTGGGCACGACCTGCTTGTGCACTGGGCCGAGAAACTGCCAATGGCCACCAAGACACCACCAGGGGTCGGACTGGACCAAGAGGACACCTTGACAGGTCTGCACTGAGACTGCGAGTAAAGAAAAGAGACACCAAGAGAGGAAAGAAATGGATGGAGTGTCCTACTCCACTGCCATCTTAGAACTTTATCTTGTTTAGCTTACAGCAAGAATTCTAAATTGTCATACTCTCTCAAAATGTAGGTTTGTTTTTGAAAACCCCAATATTTCAATATTTGCCATTTAAACTTTAAAAGGTGATTAATGTTAATATTTGTGCCCCACAAATGCCAGGCAATGATAATCTAATCTCCACCCCTTGACATTCAGTGACACTACCATCACTGAATCCCCTATTATTAACAAACTCAGGTTACCATTCATCAGAAAGTGGCTGAACTCTCCATATAAATAAAGTGTCACTAAGAGCTGGTCAGAGGCTAGGAATACTGCAGCGAATAACTCACCACCTGACTTCCCAAAGCCTCTCTACCATCAACAAGGCACAAGGCAGGTGTGTGATGGAATGCTCCCCACTTGACTGGATGAGTCTAGCTCCAACAACATTCAAGAAGATTGACACCATCCATTGTAAAGCAAGCCTGCTTGTTTGGCACAATATCTACAAACATTCAGTCCTTCCACAATTGATGCTCAGTAGCAGCAGTGTGTACTATCCAAAAGATGCACTGCAGAATTCATCAAAGCTCCTTAGATAGCACCTTCCAAACCTATGACCTCTTGCAGCTTGGCACGGTGGCTCAGTGTTTAGCACTGCTGCATCATAGCCCCAGGGACCCGGGTTTGATTCCACCCTCTGGTGACTGTCTGTGTGGAGTTTGCACATTCTCCTAGTGTCTGCAGGGGTTTCCTCCTGGTGCCGTGGTTTCCTCCCACAGTCCAAAGATGTGCAGGCTAGGTGTATTGGCCATGCTAAATTGCCTGTAGTGCTCAGGGATATGTAGATTAGGTGGGTTATAGGGGGATGGGTCTGGGTGGGATGCTCTGAGGGTCGGTGTGGACTTGTTGGGCCGCAGGGCCTGTTTCCACACTGTAGGAATCCTGTGAATTATTACAAATGCAGTATATGCAAGGGAATACCACAACCTGCAAGTTCCCCTCCAAGCCACACACAATCCTGACATGGAAATATGTCACTGTACCTTTTAAGTGTTGTTGGGTGAAAATCCTGGAATTCCTTCCGTAACGGTATTGTGTGTTTACCTACAGCACATGGAATGCAGTAGTTCAAGAAGGCAGCTTAATGGCACCCTTTCAAGGGTAAATAGGGAAGGGCAATAAGTACTGGCCAGCCAGTGACAATCGGGTCTCATGAGTGAGCAACAAAAGTACACAAGTATAGCTGTGAGTATTACAGTGTGCTATTGAATCCTTTTTGTTGTTCTATTGTGTTATGAGTGCCACTGGCTAGGTCAGCATTAATTGCCCATCCTTAATTGACCTTGGTAAGTGTTAGTGAGCTGCCAGGTGTCAGTGAAGGGCTAGTGTATTTAGAGTCATGGGGATGCACAGAAACAGACCCTTTGGTCCAATTTGCCCATTCTGACCAGATATCCTATCTGATCTAGTCCTATTTTATAGCATTTGACCCATTACCCTTCTAAACTCTTCCTATTCATATATACCCATCCAGATGCCTTTTAAATGTTGTAATTATACCACTTCCTCTGGCAGCTCATTCCATACATGCAACCCCCTCTGCGTGAAAAAGTTGTCCCTTAGGTCCCTTTTACATCTTTGCTGGTTTGCCTTAACCCTACCCTAGGGAAAAGACTGTGACTATTCACCCTATCCATGATTTTATAGCCTTCTATGAAGTCGCCCCTCAACCTCCAACATTCCAGGAAATATGGCCCTGGCCTGTTCAGCCTCTCCCTGCAGCTCAAGTCTTCCAATTCAAACGACATCCTTGTAAATCGTTTCTAAACACTTTCAAATTTCACAACATCTTTCCTTTAACACGGAGACCAGAACTGAACACAGAATTCCAAAAGTGGCCTAACCAATGTCCTGTGCAGCCGCAACATGGCCTCCCAACTCCTATACTCAATGCTTTGCTCAATGAAGGCAAGCATACCAAATGTCTACCTGCAATTATGCTTTCAACGAACTGTGAACTAACACATCAAGATCTCTTTGTTCAGCAACAGGCTGAGGACCTACGATTAAGTGTATAAGTCCTGCTGTGATTTGCCCTACCAAAATGCAGTGCCTCACCTTTATCTAAATTGAACTCCATCTGCCACTCCTCGGCCCATTTGCCCATCTGATCAAAGTTCTATTGTACTCTGAGGAGACCTTTATGGCTGTCCACTACACCACCAATTTTGGTGTCATCTGCAAACTTACAAATCATATCGCCTATATTCACATCCAAATCATTTATATAAATTACTAAAAAAGGCAGGGCACATTGCTGGTCACATGCCTCCAGTCTGAAAAGCAATGCTTGACTGTTTAAGACAAAAAAGGCAAAAGGTTCTAGCAACAGCACCACCCCTGCCCCCACCACACGCCACAACGGACACTTCTGTGATAAGGATAGCACTGTGTTAAACCCAGAGCAAAGCTGAATCTACCCTTTTAAAACAAAGTTTCCCTGACTTTTGAGCTAAACTCCAATGCCACTAAAAAAAGAAAAACAACAAATAATCAAACAAAAAATGGCTTTTCTCAACTCTGGCTGCACCAACGGTGGGGACAATGTGGAATAAATATTTTTGATAAAATAATAGCCCCAAAGGCTCTTCTAGGGTGTCAAAAATTGAAACAAATGAAAAATAAGACAGCCTTTTTCCTGGGGCACCAACCTGAAAACAAACACAACTCAAAAGGCAAAATGGAAATTTATGCTACAGAAACAAAAAGATTTACTTAACCAAAATGTTATCGTTCAGGTTTATAATGCCCTCCAGCCCCTGTGGCACCCTTCAGTCATGAAAGGCCTCGGCTGTACTGGTGGTTACTGTATGCTCCTGCTCCCGAGTGTGGATATAACTGTGAAAGAGGGCAGACAGTCAGGAACAGTCCTCGGCCTGCTACCTGGACCCATTAATGGCCGTCTTGACGAGTCCCAGGTGTAAAGCCATAAGAAGCCTCATGGACTTGTCCACCCCTTCCCACACCGGGCGCCCATAGAACAGGAGCTTGGGGATGAAGTGCAACCAAAATGTCAACAGCATCTCCTTTAAGAAACTAAAAAGGAGCTGCAGATGAAGGCACTCAACACGTAAGTC